ATATTGCCCTTCATCTTTTTGTTATCATTTTTTTTTTCATTTAATAGCAAACCAGATAGACAACAAACAAATCTTTATCATACTCCTGGGAAAATTAAACTTTCTGCAAAAGTTACTCAACTTATAAGGCGTGTTCGGTACAGATGTTTTCCTACTTATAGAACAGGTTCATAATGTTATTTCTTTTTTTCGTTTTATTCTTCATATACAACCATGATGTCTTTGACCTGTGTACACTTCGACTAATTTTTTGAGGTACCATATGATGTTAACAAAAATGCCAACTTCAAATGTGCACTGGGCAATCTGATATTCGTCCTTTTCATTTATTTTTCTTGTTATTACCGTGGTGTCCTGACACATTTGTGTGCACTTCAACTAATTTTATGCTCGGTCAGAGTCAATGTGTAGCTTACGGGTTCGGTCAAATGCAGTAACTTTAGTCTAAAATCTGTGTTAAGAGATTTATTGCATGTGTTCAAATAATAATTGAGAACCCATTTTGCACTTTTTTGTTTCACAACTATAATTTTCTCCTCTTGTCTGTCCTTCCAGAAGAAAAAAATATATTTCGGACAGTCAAATAGAACAATTCTTTGTTAGCTCTTCATGCCTCCTTCACTTCTCAAACTGAACTAAGACTGTCCAACTAGAGTATAGCCGGAAGGAGCTCTTTTTTGTATTGAAAGTGTTTTCAAATAGCATTAATCCATTACGTCGATAATAAGACTTAAGAGTACATGAACTTCTTAACAAAAGGCAGTTCAGCTTGATAACTAGAGTAAACGAAAAATTCAAGCTTCTTACAGAAGGCAATTCAGCTTGATAAATCGATAAGCTGTTTTGACAGAGCAAAACCAATCTTTCAAAGGTGGGATCAATCCCCTCCGCCTTTAATCAGAAATCTTGAAATTTGAAAACTCTTCACAAAGAGTGTCACTATATTATAAAATCAGAATATAAACAAATGTTACTATGAATAAGAACACATGTAAAAAGGTTAAAAACTAGTATTGTTGGGGTCCTCTATAGAAGAGAATCCCTCCAAAAATTGGCGTATGCCACTGATTGCAGCGCGCACACGGTATTCTTTAGTAAAAGGCGAAAGAATAGTTCGCTTTGTGCTCACTGCGTGGCTGCGTGAGCATTTCAGTTAATCTGTGCTGCATTTTTATAGTGGGACAAAGTTTGTATATACTCGTTTTTTATCAATGTGGTACTCACAAGCCAGTCCTTCAATATTATCTATAGAAACGACTTAAGTTTGTCCTTTATACTTTCTCGTATGATTAAAATACTAATAGTTGAATTCCGATTAGTGATAGAGTCAGGATTTTCGTGTATCGTATTATATAAAAGTAGGAGATATTGAATGGATTGAAATCTGAGATTGATCTTCTCAACTGACAAATAGCAGCAACTTGTCAAACGTTTCTAGACATTAATGTCACTTCCTATGATCCTGAATCCACTTTATCGATGCGCCTCAGTCCAGCCAAAAGGCGCGGATTCACCGGTTTCTAACAAGTGGAAAGATGTTCTCTTGATGGCGCGGACACTCGCCATCAAATGTCCATTTGTAGGCTTTCATTTAGATTTTGTCACTCTTTTTGAAAATTGTGCAAATGAAAATTACCCTTTATGATAACATTAGACTTTGTTCTAATGTGTGGTTGTATATATATTGTTCAACCTTATAGACAAAATAGAAGTTTGTTTTCACAAAAGGGGATCTTGAAACCAAGGTATGGAAGATTCATAAGTAAGAGTAGAAATAAAAAGATAAATCATTTACTACTCTAAACAATTGGTTCAAAATGAAACAACGAGAGAGTTAAAAGTAACCAAAAACAACGAAATTTTGATTATGAATTAGGATACGGCTCCCACTGCCACAAATTATGATATAGGCTCGACCACTTGGACCGACCTTAGATGGACATCCACCCGTCCAAAGTGCAATAGATGTCACCCAAAGACAAATTATGATATAGGTTCAACCGGTCCAAAGTGCAATAGAGGTCACCAAAGACAGATTATAATATAGGCTTGACCAACGTTAGATGTACATCCACCACTCCGAAGTGCAATAGAGGTCACCAACCTACCACTCCAAAGTGTGACATTAAATAGACATCCATCACTCCAAAGTGCAATTTAGGTCACCAACCTACGTCGTGAGCCATATTGATCGCCCATTAACCATATCAAGGTAAATATTGCAACTTGAATTTAGCTCATACAACATACAAAATACTAAAAATCATAACTATAAGAAACGTGTGGTACATAAATAAGAAACATGTGGTGAAAACAATTGAAATTAGAATTGTTGTGGTTCTGATATAAGAAATATATGCTTACAAGATGATCGATGAAAATGTGGCATAGGATGCTTTGGACTGAATAAATCATCAAAAACAAGAAAAATTGGGTTAAGAATTGGGTAGGGGCCGCGCGAACGCAGGCCCCCACAGCAACAAATTATGACGTAGGCTCGACCACTTGGGCCGACCTTAGGTAGACACCCCTCCAAAGTGCAATGGAGGTCACAAACCTAGGCCATGGGTCTCATTGATCGCCCATTGACCCCGTCCAGGTAAGTATGTTTCTTGTTGCTCCTTCCTATTCTTTTATACCCTTTTTAATACTTGTTTTCCTTTGTATCAACCGATGAGGGATATATTGGCCCTTCCTCTTTTTATTAGTATTATTTTTTGTTTCATTTAATATCAAACAAATCTTTATCATACTCTTGGGAAAATTAAACTTTGCTGCAAAAGTTTCTCAACTTATAGGGTGTTTTTGGTACAGAGGAAAACATTTTTCATGAAAAGTATTTTTTCTTCTTACCGAACAGCTCCATAATGTTATTTGTTCTTTTCGTTTTACACTTCCTACAACCGTGATGTCTTTGACCTGTGTGCACTTTGACTAATTCTATGAGGTACCATATGATGTTAACTTAAAATGTGCACTGGGCAATCTGATATCGTCCTTTTCGCTTTTTTTTCTTGTTATTACCGTGGTGTCTTGAGACATTTGTGTGCAATTCAACTAATTCTATGTTCGGGCAAAGTCATTGTGTAGCGTACAGGTTCAGCCAAACACAGTAGCTTTAGTCTAAATTCTCTATGTGTTGAGAGATTTATTGCATTCCCCTATTGTCAGTCCTTACAGAAGATAAAATATATATTCCTCTACCCTTGATCAGAAATCTCGAAATACACAAGTTTTTATCTACCCATCGTAAAGAGTCACTATATTATAATATCAAAATATCAAAAAAGTTACCACTATATATAAGAACACATGTAGAAAAGGTTAAAACTAGTATTGTTGGGTCCTCTTAAGAAGAGAATCCCTCAAAAAATAGGCATATGCCACTAATTGCAGCGCACACACGGTATTCTTTAGTAAAAGGCGAAAGAATAGTTCGCTTTGTGCTCACTGCGTGGCTGTGTAGGTTCTTTCACTTATCTGTGCTGCATTTTTATATTGGGATAAAGCTAGTATTTAATCGTTGTTTATCAATGTGGTACTAACCTCACTCACTCCTTTATAATATTGTTCTCTGCTTCTTTTTCAGTAACTTTATGATTGAAAATCTAACATGTTTTTTCAAATAGAAACTACTTAAGCTGTCATGCTGTATACTTTCTCGATCGACTAATTTAAGATATGATTCTAAGGAGATATAAATTCACAAGATGATGGATAAAATGTCGCGAACTGAGCATCTTGAATAGCTGAACTCGAATGCAGGTTGTGTTTTTGTAAGTGTATAGTGAAGGATGATGCTCTTGATAGACTCTTTAGTTCCGCAGCTCAGGCAAATTTCTCATCATTTTCATGTAAATAGTGAAAGGATACAATTATATGTTTACTGGTTTCTTGACACATTTGTGTGCACTTCAACTAATTCTATGTTCGATCAGAGTCAATGTGTAGCTTACGGGTTCGGCCAAGCAGTAGCTTTAGTCTAAATTCACTATGTGTTGAGAGATTTATTGCATGTGTTCAAAAAATAATTGAGAACTCTGTTTGCATTTTTTTGTTTCACAACTAGAATTTGCTCCTCTATATCATTTCCCTCTTGTCTGTCCTTCTGGATGAACAAAAAATATATTCCTCCACCCTTAATCAGAAATCTCGAAATTGAAAAAGTCTTATTCACTTAGTAACTACGCAAACTTTTATCTACCCTTCACAAAGAGTGTTACTATATTATAATATCAGAATATAAACATATGTTACTATGAATTCTACACATAGAAAAGGTTAAAACTAGCATTGTTGGGGTCCTCTAAAGAAGAGAATCCCTCCAAAAATTGGCGTATGCCACTGATTGCAGCGCGCACACGGTATTCTTTAGTAAAAGGCGAAAGAATAGTTCGCTTTGTGCTCACTGCGTGGCTGCGTGAGTTCCTTATCTAATTTGTGCTGCAATTTTATATTGGGACAAAGTTAGTATTTGCTTCGTGTTTTATCAATGTGGTATTGGAAAAGAAAAAAACAGCCGCTTTCGTTTAAATTGCATCTTCTATGGTTTACTTTAATCGACGTTGTTTGGACTCTCCAAAAATGCTGTTGCACCAGACCCATGTTGGATCCTCCAAATGCGCAAGTCACCTTCTTCTTTTTTTGGAGTCCGAAAAATATAGTTTTATAATGGGGATCGAGTAACGTATGGAACATTGTATCTCAGGCTAAGATTTTATCACTCCTTAGAAGAATCTATAAAATCATTGATGGAAGCATCAGTATGTTATTGGACTAAAGCAATCCGAAGATACTCTTAATATGTTCTGATATTATTCGCTAGACTCATTAGTTACGTAGCTCGAGAAAATTTCTCATCTTTTTTTTGTCCATGTAAATAGTTAAAGTATACAATTCAACTATAACATAAAAGTACTTAATAATATATATAAATCAGTCAAATGGCTGGCCTATAAAAAAACACAAAACAATAATAAGAAAATTTTGCTTAAAAATTGGTAGGGGCTGCGCGAACGCAAGCCCCCGCTGCAACAAATTATGACGTAGGCTCGACCACTTGGGCCGACCTTAGGTAGGCACCCCTCCAAAGTGCAATGAAGGTCACAAACCTAGGCCATAGGTCTTATTGATCACCCATTGACCCCATCCAGGTAAGTATGTTTCTTGTTGCTGCTTCCTCTTATTTTATACCCATCTTAATACTCTTTTTTCTTTGTGTCAATCGATGAGGGATATATTGCCCTTCATCTTTTTTTATTATTTTTTTCATTTAATAGCAAACTAGATAGACAACAAACAAATCTTTATATAGAGTGTGTTCGGTAGAGAGGAAAACATTTTTCATGAAAAACACTTTCCTTCTTACCAAACAACTCCATAATGTTATTTGATCCTTTTCGTTTTATTCTTCATCCAATTGTGATGTCTTTGATCTGTGTACACTTCGACTAATTTTATGAGGTACCGTATGATGTTAACAAAAATGCCAACTTAAAATGTGCACTGGGAAATCATTCTATGTGTTGAAAAAATTTAAAGATCAAGCATTCATCAGCTCACTGTTTGGCTACAAGAACACAAAGTAAATACAAAACAAGAAAATTTTGCTTAAGAATTGAGTAGGAGCCACATGAACGTAGGCCCCCACTGCGACAAACTATGACATAAGCTCGACCACTTGGGCTGACCTATGGCGGGCACCCCTACATGGCGGGGCTACCTTTATAATAATGGCATTGTCAAGATTCAATAGTTTTGGCTCAAACTCTATTATATCGAGTTACAAGCAAGTATGAAACTATATTGATCAAACTCGATAATTCCGCAGCTCGGGAAGAAAAATCAATTATTTAAGTACATAGAAGGAAGATGTTGAGGGGTCAGAGTGGCATTTGAATGAAAGCTCTTTTTTATCAATAAGCCAAGTGATTGCTCAAACTAATGATTATACAGGTACCAATTGAATGAAGATTTTCTTGAAGAATTGGGTAGGAGCCGCGCGCACGCAGGCCCCCGCTGCAACAAATTATGACGTAGGCTCGACCACTTGGGCCGACCTTAAGCAAGCACCCCTCCAAAGTGCAATGAAGGTCACAAACCTAGGCCATGGATCTTTTTTTTTTCCATTTAATAGCAAACCAGATAGACAACAAACAATTTTTTACCATACTCATGGGAAAATTAAAATAAGATCAAAAAGCCCTTATGAATTTCAGTATTTGAATAAATCATACACTTCGGGGAGGCCTAGTGGTTTGGGCTTGGGACTTCCATGTTGGAGGTCTCAAGTTCGAAATCCCTTGCCAGCGAAAGCAACGGATTTGTCTTCTGGATCGAGCTCGTCGTACCTGGCTTGCCTACTGCGGATTACCTCTCCGGGGTATTGAGTAAATCACATAATCCAATTTTAGTGACAAAGTCAAGTGTCTAATTGTACTGAGATTAAAGGTGTTGTGTAGAAACTGATGTTAACACTGAGATTAAAGGTGTTGTGTAGAAACTGATGTTAACAAAAACTATGCTTACTGCAAAAGTTGCTCAACTTATAGGGTGTGTTCTGGACGAAAATATTTTTCATGAAAAACATTTTTTCTTCTTACCGAACACTTCCATTATGTTATTTCCTTTTTTTTCGTCTTCTCATTCAACCGTGATTTTGATGTCTTTGGCCTATGTGCACTTCAACTAATTCTATAAGGTGGACCAAATTTTGAATTTTTTGTAATGCAGCTCAAATTTTGAGACAAGCATAAAAAATATTGAGCTTAGAATTGTTGGGGTACTCTAAAGAAGAAAACCCCTCAAAAAATTAGCATATGCCACTGATTGCAGCGCTCACACGGTATTCTTTAGTAAAAGGCGAAAGAATAGTTCGCTTTGTGCTCACTGCGTGGCTGCGTGATTTTTTTGCATATCTGTGCTTCACTTTTATATTGGGACAAAGTTAGTATTTACTCGTGTTTTATCAATGTGGTACTCTCTACACTCTTTTTATTCTCGAATTGCTCTCTCTGCTTCTTCTTTTTCATCATTCCTTTAAATTCGATCGAAAATCATCATGTTTCTTGTATACTTTGTTGTTTGATTAATTTAAGATTTGATTTCACTTCAGTTTGTTGGTGATTCTGGAGAAATATATGGTCACAAGTTAATCGATGAAATGTAGCATAGGATGTTTTGTACTTGGTACTCTTGAATACTTGAATTGCAGAGTCTGGATTTTTATTAAGGACAATCAAAACTTGAAAGAAATAAACAAACGAATAAGCCAAGAGAATTCATTGCCTATCATACATACGAAAAACTAATAATTTAACATTATATATACAATATAATTTTCTTGTAAATGGGGTTCCGATGTGCGTTGGTAGGACCTTGTCAAAAAAATAGAGAAAAACTTCTCATATTAGACAAAGTTATAAATCCTCAAACATAAATTTTTTGGAAGGAAGATAGAGAAATGATGAGGAAAATCAAAAATATTGTTACCCCATTTTAACATATGTTTACCAAATCAAGAAAATTTTGTCTAAGAATTGGATAGGATCATGCGATGGCAGACCCCACTATCACAAATTATAACGTAGGCTCGATCACTTGGGCCAATCTTAAGCATGTACCTTTTTAAAGTGCAATGAAAGTCACCAATCTAGGCCATAGATTTTATTGATCACTTATTGACCTTGTCTAGATAAGTATGTTTCTTATTGTTCCTTCCTATTATTTTATATCTATCCAAATCCAAGTTTTCCTTTGTGTAGACCGGTGAGAGACTTTTGTGCTTGTTTTCTCCTATTTGGTAATGTAATATATTCTACAAAGGTTAGAGACATATAAATAGAAATATCTATTATTTTAACCATAGTTTAGCACACTTTTTAGTAAAATTAAATTTTTATACACCTTTCTTGATAAGTGTCACGCATCTACATAAGAAATTAGAAAATGAAAAGAAGTCAGATCTAAAAATGTCATCATATAGTATATACTTTAGTTTGTTGTAGACAGAGAATTGACAATGACAATAACAATAACATATCCCGTATAATTTTATTGATGATATTGAGAAAGAATGATGTATACACTAATACACAAACCTTACGTCTATTTTGAGAGAATATAATTTAGAGAAGTTATTTTCGAGTGATTCTAGATATCATAAGTCACTTTCCGACTTCATTTTTTGATAATTCTCAAAGTTGTCATTCTTATACATGTAACTAGCATGGGGTAAATGAAATCGTTCAAGATGGTCACTCAATTTCATATGACATCGATATTTTAATGAGGTGTCACGTGACATGCTATATCTCTAATTTTCTTTATTGCCTCACTTTTTTCCATTCCTTCCATGTTTTTTATTTATACGTAACATTTTTTTCTCTCTAATATAAAATAATATTATATCACTACAAAATTCGACATAATTTAAATTAGTCGAGTCAATAAATATTAAATATCTGATGATTAAAACAAAATAGAGAATAACTTCTCTCATAAGACAAAGAAGAGGAAAGTATGTTCAATTTCAATGCAAATTGCACAATGATACTTCAGTTTCAGAATTTGTTGCACACACAATATTCTTGTTTAGAAACTTCTATTTTGGTACTACTTCACAATAGGACCTTTCAACTTTTCATCATTTTGGTGACGTTACGTTTATCTAAACTCATACGTTGGTCAAATTTATTTATTTTAAGGATATAATTTAAAATTATTTTAATTTGAAATTGACATTATTTAAACTGAAAAGTATATGTTTTTTGTTCTTCTAAACATGAAACTTTTATCATTTGTAAAAATTATCAAAATTTTCTCAATTATTACAATTTTATCGGAGTAACATATCAAAATTCATAACAAAGCATAATACGCAAGATCCTTCTCAAAAATATAGTAGCAATATTTATTAATTGAACTTTAGTTTAATAAAAAGAAAAATTAAACATAGTAACAAAGTAACTACTTTTTTATTAATCTCTTCAATATGATATAAATAATATTTTTACGTAGTTAAGTATATTTTTTCGAATTAAAAAATCGAAAAGACGAAATAATATTTTTTTTCAATCGGTTGTTGGTAGTGTGATTAACAACCATATCTACATCAATCGAAATTACTAAGTGAAGTGATAAATTTTGAAAAGTAATTAGCTATGATTAACATTATATTTATGGACACATATTATATATTTATTAAATTAATAACGTAACACCGTATGTGATAAATTATTATTCACGAGACTAGAATATAAATAGAAACGTATTTCTACAAATATTCTCAAAACTTTAATGGAATAAAAATTAGCAATCAAACAAAATTGAAGCAATAAATTGACCATATCTATACTAATTGATGTATCATGACTCATATTGAGAAGATTTAAAAATAAAAAAAATACATATATTTAAAAAATCACAGAAATTCAACATATCATATATCTATTTATTCATAAACATAAATATTTTTTTAATTTTACATATAGAGTATAATTTTGTGCCTTCCCATCTAATAATAAAACAATAAGTATTTCTCCATCTTTAACTATAATTCTTGAGTTTAAACTCAAGTGTGGAATCTTGTTTTTATCGAAAGCGTTTTATCTTTTAAGTGTAATTCTTTTTTTCGAATAAATCAAGATTAATTAGTTGAATATTAAAACGGATAATTGATTCCAACATGAGGATAAAAATTAAAGTATAAAAAAATATATAGTGTAAATTTTTATAAGAGAAGTTCAGGTAAATTGCTTGCGACCTTAGCTCTACCTCCAATAGAGTAGTAAGTATTCCTCAGTCTTTAACCATAATACATTTGTTCAGACTCAAATGTTAGAATCTTGTTTTTATCAGAAGCGTTTTATCTTTTTAAAGTGTGCCTTCAAGATTAATTAGTTGAATATCTTAACGGAACAAAAATCAACATCTCTTAAGAGGAATTCATATAAATCACCTTCGATCCTAACTCTACCCCTAATAAAAGAACAATAAGTATTTACCCATCTTTAATCATAATATTCAAAATTCAGACTCTAAGTGTAAAATCTTATTTTTATCAAAAGCGATTTATCTTTCGAGTATGAATCAAGATTAGTCAGATCTCATAACAGATACTCGATTCCGGCTTGAGGACAAAAAATAGCATTTATAAAAAGAACATAAAAAAGGATATTTGTTACAAATTTTATATTACGTGATCTCCAAGCAACCACCATTACACTCAATTCCCACCACCCCCCTACCCCTACCTACCCCACCCCCAACCAATCCCCCTTTTCTTCCGCCATAAAAAGCATCTGGAAGCTACTCTGTCTTCTTCAATACCAATACTTTATTCCAGAATTATCCCCACCGCCTTATCTTATTTACTAATCAAACCTTCCTTAAACCCCACCTCTGTTTCTGTATATATATAAACCCTTCAATAATTACTATTCGGAACTCTGTTTTTTCCATTTTTCATGTGTTGGGTTTGCCGGATATTGATGTATTAGTTGCCGGAGTTTGAGAAAAGAACTCCTTTTCCCCCTTTTTTTTGCAATTTCATGTATTGGGTTTGCCGGGAATTGACGTATTAGTTGCCGGAGTTTGAGAAAAGAACTCCCTTTTCACCTTTTTTAGCATATTCGTGTATTGGGTTTGCTGGGTATTGACGTATTAGTTGCCGGAGTTTGCGAAAAAAACTCCTTTTTCAGCTTTTTCACTTGTTGGGTTTGCCGGGGATTGATGTGTTAGTTGCTGGAGTTCCCTCTTCAGCTGTTTCACTTGTTGGTTTGCCGGGGATTGCGTGTTAGTTGCCGGAGTTTGGCTTTATTCAACTTTTTAGCATATTTCACTTGTTGGGTTTGCTGGAAATTGACGTGGTATTTGCCGGAGCAATGGTGGAAGGCGGTGCAGGACCGGAGTTTCCGGTGGTGTTTTACGATGGAGAAAGAGAGATGAATATTGGGAGTATTCGGATATACCCTTTGCTAGAATTCAAAGCGTTTCAGTTGATGTTAAGCCAGAGGATCGGAATCTCACCGAATCAGATTTCAATTTACTTATGTGATCGGAAAAGCTCAAAGTTTGAAGATCGACGGAGGATACCCATAACCGGTAAAGCAAATTTCGGTTTAATTGCTCGTGAGAAGGACTGTTTCTTTCTCGTGGTTCTAAAACGGTCGCGAAAATCACGTAACCGAAAGGTAGCAAAAGCGGATTACGCCGGTGGATTCATGACGGAGAATGAGTTCTCCGTAACTCCACCGGATAATCCCATTCTCCTCCGACGAACCCACCCGAATCAAATCGGATTCGGGTCACCGTTTTTCGATCAAATTTCACCATTAGAACTGGAAAATTTGAACGAGAAGTTGCAGAGTTTGAAGATTCAGAGAGACAATTACAATTACTCCATGGGTATATCGCAACTGAACTCAATTCCGATACATCGGAATAATCCGTACCCGGACCCGGATCCGTTTCCGAGGATCCAAGATACATTTCCGATGAAGACGAAAGGTAAATGCGAGCAATGCAAGGGTAATAATGGAAATGAAAAAAATCCCAGTTTTCATCACTGCAAAAATGATCCGGTGATCGTTGGTGTTTACCGGAGCCGGTTTGGACCGGTGTCGCCGGCCGGTTTTTGTTAGTTTAACCGGCGGTTTAATTGTACAAAGTTTTTGGGAGCAGAAGAGAGGGAATCTGCTGCATTTGTGGTATATGGTAAGGAAAATGTACCATAATTTTAGTTTATAAAATTAGCCTTATGATTAGGGAAGTGATTATGAATGGATTATTAAGGAAATTGGATTTTGATTTTGGAGTGGTCAACAAATTAGCTTGCCACTAAATAAGTTTTTTTTTTTTTAATATAAAATAGTTTTTTTTTAAAGGATTATTCCCTATATTGGTTACTTTGGGAGTTTGAAGAAATGTAATATGGAGATTTTTCCATGAATTGAATTCATAAAATAAGTGTGAATTGATTTTGAAATGCAATTATTTTTTTTTCAATTTGTTTTTTTTTTTCTTCTTATGCGTGTTTAATACGATTGTAATGTTGGTAATGAATTATAATTAATTTAAAGGTTTAAAGGGGAGACTTGGAACAAATTTTCCAAGTTGAAGAATAAATCATGGTGGAGTATCCTATTATATGGAGAGTTAGAGGTCGAGCTACTTATTAAAAGAAAAAAATATTTGAGTATAGTTTTTAGGAAAAACAAATTATAATAGGGTTTGATTCAAAATAAAACACTTGATACGTTTTCAGGATTCAAATATAGACAATGTGTCAAATAATATAATGTATGTACTATTACGAAAAGATGGATCTAAGTATAAATTTAATTGATTTAACATTTAGGTTTTTATCCAAATCACTTACAGAGGCATTACTACAAGAAAAAATAAAACAAGATAAACAAAAAATTCAAATTTCTAACCTCACTCAGAGAGGTACATCAAATCACCATCACATTATATGATACTTCAAGAATAAATTCACATATTTATATTTAAATATTTTTAAAAAATATATAACATTACTATTATATGATTTTAGAAGCATGGGTGAATCTAGTGACCCCTCCTGAATGATTTTTCTTGCTTTGGTTTTCTATCCGGTGTTCTGGCACCCACATTGGAGCCCGACTAAATTTGGATTCGTGCCGAAAAGTCCCACATTGAGGGATAAAGTGTTCCTTAACAAAGGTGACTCCGTACTCAAGGGGGTTCGGGTTTGCGACTCCGTACTCAAAGGGGTTCGAACCCGAGATCTCTTAATTAAGGATGAAAGAGTACTTACCACTTCACCACAACCCTCGTTGGTTGGATGATTGTTTGTGTGAGAAGTAGTAGAAAAATTCATTTAGGACTTGATTCAAAAAAAGGAACAAATGATACATTTTAGAATTCAGATATGAACAATATACTACATAATTATCGCGTGAAAAGAACAATAAAGATTCTATTACTCATAATTATCACCTGATTGTTTTATTCGAAGAATAAAAAATCATAGGAGAATTTTTTTAATAAAGTTTGAAAAGACAAATGGCAGATCGAGAAAGATACTAAAATATGAAAAATATACTTTTGTTCCAAGTAAAAATTAGTTTGGATTTTTTCATTTATAAAAGTGTATATATTTTAGAAAAAATTACTTGGATGGATACATTTTAATAAATAATTATTAATTTTAGCGATACTTTTTATTTATTACCATTTATAGCAATATTATGTTAAATCTGCAATATGTATTAAAAGTGAATTATGTATGCAATATATATGCATTATAATTGTTTTTTAAAATATATTATGTTTGTTTGGTAGGAAATTGACACATAGTATTATAAGTGCATTAAAATGTGTGATAAATGTATTATCCATTAATAAAACTTGTATTATATGTGAATAATAAATTGTTCTTTGTAATATGTATTAAAACTGTATTATAAATGTATTAAAAGTGATCAAGTGAAAAAAAATATTATTGCTATAAATGGTAAATATTTTTCTAAGATAGTATATTTATGTAAGTTTTCTATATTTTACGTGAATTTTCTTTCGTAATAGAACAAAATAATGATATCATCGAGGTAACTAAATAAACTAAAAATCAAAATTATTGAAAAGGGAAAACATATTATTTTCAACTTTGGCAAAAACCTAAGATCTATAATAATTTCTAGAAATCGAAGTTATATCTTTAACATAATTTAGTAAATACTTATTAAAAGAGATTTTCTTTTTAGTAAAATTCATGTTTCTTTATGTTTAGCAAAAATGTCCAACAACGATTTTATATGTATGTTGCTTGTGTAGTATATATTAATTAGATAAAGTACTTAATTAGTGATATTGTTGAACAAATGCCTTTTTCCCTTTTATTTAAGTGCACATATAAAGTACAAAGAATTAAGTTTAAGAGATTATACATGATATTATCTAAAACAGTTCATACCATTCATATATAGTGTTTTGATCTAAACCAAATAAATAATAAAGAAAATAATTAATCAAATAAAAAAACCCCAAAATTAAAATTAGGAAGTTAAAGTAGGCTTAGTGGAGGTAGTTAACATATTGTAAGGATTAGTTACACCATATATTGTAACAATTAATAAATATTGTTTGGTAGCTTTGAAGCAACTCAAATATTAATAAATATTATTAGCTTTGAATTAATAATTAATAATTATTTTCTCTTAAAGGACAAAGAGAAAAAAAGAGAGGATAAATAGCATTTTTGATCTCTTAATTATTGCTAAATTGATTTAAGTTAATTGAAAGCATGCTTTTGATCCTTTTATATAGAAAATATATTGTTTTAAAATTATTGTAGGGAAAAAATTACGGTTAAATTTGAAATAAAAATACAATTTTAATATAAATATGATAGTTGAATGACGAAACAATTGATAATCATGATAAAATTATGAAGATTTATAATTAAAAGGAGGAACAATACAAGTTTCAATTAATTAAAAATTAAATATATTTAATCATACATTACAAAAATTAAAATGAGAATTTATTGAAAGTTAAATGGATCAAAATTTGCTACTAACAAGTGACACCCCAAAGATTGCAAATGGTCCTCTCCATATTTATAAAAAAAAGTTTTAAATTGGTTCATTAATATATAGATCGATTATCTTCCGATTCGGAGAAAAAAAATTATCTTCTGATTCACTATAATACAATATGTTTATTTGAACTACTGCTTTTTCCTTTTATTTTTACTTGTCATAAATTTTCAAATATTTTTATCAAATCACTTTTAAATGAAGTTTTACTATGCGATGACCATAGATTTTAATAGAAATATTTGACTTTTACACCCATAAATTTTCAAAATTATTGAAAATATTCATAAATTTATATTTTCATTTTATAATGAAAACGTTCCTTAAAAAGTCACGGCAACAAACATAATTAATATGAATTTAAAAAAGAGGAAGAAAACAAACGTAAAATACCATCGATTTGTATATGAAAATAATTATTACTACTTGTACTCAGGAGTGACTTCTAACAGCAAGCTCGAATAAATTTTTAGTATTCGGTGTTTGATATTCACATTGAAATTCGACTAAATTTGGATTCACGTAAAAGTCCATCATTGAGGGATAAAATGTTTCCAAACAAAAATGACTTCATAAAATGACTTCATATCCAACAAAACTCAAACTCAAAACTTCAGATTAATAATACAGAATTACTTACGATTACAGTTCTACCACAACTCTTGTTCATAACAAAATATTTGTTGATAGCAATTCTCGTTGTTAATTTTCTAACCCGATATTCAATATTTGTATTGAAACCCAACTAAATCCGATAACGAAATTATATAGAATATATTTTTAGTATTCTATATCGATATTCATATTAAAATTCGATTAGATTTGGATTCACATAGAAGTCAAATTCAAAATTTCTGATTAAGAATACAAGAATACTTAACAGTTACAACTCTACCACAACTTTCGTTCATAACAAAATATTTGTTGATAGCAATTCTCGTTGTTAATTTTCTTACCCAATGTTCAATATTTGTATTAAAATTCGACTAAATCCGATAACGAAATCACTTTGTGATATGCACTTATATATCCAATATATATAATTTTACATCCATCTTCCCTGAGCTGTCACGTATCAACTTCCAAATAGAGAAGCCAATGCTGCAACTCTTCAGCTCTACCAAGCTCTGAACAAACACAAAAATGGCAGAAACCTCATACCCCCTACCCCCACCCCCACTATCAATATGCTTCCAGTTATTGATCAGTCGACCCCCCACCCCCAAGTCCTCTGGTCACGTGACCCACCCCACCCTTCTCTCTCACGCCTTTTAGCAGGCAAAAAAAAGGAGAACTGTAACGTCAATTTGAAAAACTTCTCTCTCTCTTCTCAACTCTTTTTCTCTCTCTAAAAGTTTATAAAATGTGTTTCTGAGTTTGAATTCTTGGTGGGTTTTGAGAAAAAATGGAGTATTCTTCTTCAGAAAATCTGGATGATGGAGAGTTATGGCTACCTTCTGATATTTTTCCAGTAGAAGAAACTGTTTCTTCTACTAATAATAATAATAAGCTGAGTTCTTCTCTTTGCTGTTGTTACTCTTGTGTTCTTCTTCTTCGTCATCATCATCACAATAATCATAGCTCTATTTTCATGGCTAAACAAGAAGAATCTGCTGCTATTTCACTTCTTCAATACCGTACTCATAATACCCACAGTGTTCCAAAGCCATTTCCCATTACTGAGGTAAATGGGTTTTTCATAGAATCTCTAATTTTTCGCTACATTAGTACTGGTATTTTGCTCCGTTTTGTTGTTTTTCTTCGAATTTCGCCATTGTTGCAGAGGTTCAAAGCTTCTTCTTCGTTTTTACTTACTGTTTTTCTCGATATTGCAGCGGCGGTTCAGACCGGCTGAGAGGTGCTGTAGCTGTACGGATTGTTCAATTTCAGAGTATTTTGAACGGAATAGAAGAGGAACAGAGCTGCTTCTAACCGGTTCACCACCGGTTCAACTTCAACACCAGGTAGAACCGAAAACTTAATTTTTGTTCGGTTATTTCTCGATTTTCAACTTTCTCTTACAAAATTGGTATAGGTTGAGAGTTTGATGGATGCAAGAGCTCTGATTTTACAGAAGGAAGAGCAGAACCGGTTCATCAGAATGCAGAGAAGAAACCTCGGCCTAGACCGGTTCACCGGAAACCGGGTTTCGTCATTTGTGGGAGGCAGTGGCAGTGGTGGCGGCGGCGGCGGTGGTTTTAATGGTGAAAGTAGTTCTGTGAGAGATTATGGTGGAACTGGTGTCTTCCTCCCAAGAATACCCATCAATATCAACAACAATGGTAGAAAGAGACAAGGCAAGTCAATTAAATCATTCAGCTACGTTGCTCGAATTCTTCAAAAATGTTGACGGATGCTTGTCGGATCCTTTAAAATTAATGTAATTTTGAAGAATCCGATAACGATAAGAGTGTGACAACATTTTTAAAGAGTCTGAGCAACGTAGTTGTGTTGAGTTACTAATCTCTTACTTTTGAACATTATTCATTAATTGTTGGTTATCATGATTAATGAGCCGAGAGGTCGATCACATCTTTTCCAAACCTCACTTGTGAAAATATATATGTTATTGTTAGATTACAACTACATTCAATGTAGAGATCACAACGGTGCGAGTATAACTTAATTCGCAAAAATTTCAACATGCTTTGCCTTGCTCTTCATAACATTTTCTCCTATTCTCCATCCGGCTCGCCTCGTTGCCATCCCTAGTTCAATGTGAATATACATACCCTAGTCTTAGTTTAAAGCTTAACAAGTTGAAAGGCATTGCCATCACATGCAAAATGCATACTCTTTCCGTTTCAATTTGTATGCTTAATTTTTGTTTGACTAGACTAGTAGTTAAAAAGAACAAAAAAAACAAAGCTTTTTTCATGTAAGTTAATATAATATGTATGACATTTGGTAAGAGAGGTTTGCTCATGTAGTAAGCGTTTTCTACTTTCGATCTTAAAGTTGTGAGCTTGAATCATCAAGAGAACGAAAATGTGAGAATTTCTTGAGTGGTAACTTTTTTTTTGAATGAAATTCTAAGTTCAACTTGCATGTACCTTGACTAATTCTACGATAGATATGGTATAATTCTATCTACCAAATCTTGGATAGATTGTGTGGTATACCTAGTATGAACAAGTGTGTCACTAAAAGGGGTAAGAGTGTTGTGCTTAAATGAAGATGGATATTATTTTAACTAGATGGAACTAGTTAGAAACACCAAATCACAAAGTACTTAAAGATGTAAATCTTGAACTAGTGTTGATAAATTATTTTTAGAGAATAAGAATAGATCCTTGTGGTTCGATCCCTTTTTGAACTCTGTGCATAATAAAAGCTTAGTGCATCGAAATGTCCTTTTAAGAATATGATGTTCTTAGTGGTAGAATGTTCCATTTTCCTTGTTTGGTTTGCTAAGAAGTAGAGGAAGGGAGAAACAAATTTTATGACTTATTCTTAGGTGAGTTAGCTGAGGGATTATTCGAAACAACCTTTGTATCTCTCAAGTAAGAGTAAAATCTACGTATATCCTATCCTCTCCTATCCAGACCCCATTTTGTGTGACTACATTAGATATGTTGTTCTTAGCATAGTTAAGTTATTATAATTATATCACTCTGAACTTTTATCAATTTTTTATGACTTGTTCTTAGTTGAGTGAAATATTTTCCTTGTTTCCTCTTTTACCCCTTTTTTTCTGATAGGGCACACATGAAAAAGTGGTTTTTTGGGAAAAGCAACTGACATCTGACCCTCTCTTATATCTTTTGGTTATATATGGTAGTTCATACTGAAATTTCCTTTCTCATATTAAATGTTTGGCAGTTTTGTTTTAAGGGGAGGATTTGTAATTTGTTGCATTCTTTAGTTAGGTTGCTTACCTCTTGAATGCTTGCCCCCCTACCTCACCCCACCCCACCCTCCAAACAAAATTAGCCCATGAAAACATAACCCGTCCAAGTATGGTTTGTTTATGACCCGTTTATTTGCCTAATTAAGCACAAATGGCTTTTGGGCGGGTCAATAGTCCGTCTTTTTACTAACTTATCCTATTTCAACTTACTCAATTTCAATTTAACTTGCCCATTTGACACCCCTTCTAGTAGCTACTAAGATGTGAGCAAGATTAAAACTAGGTTATGAGAATTAATGATTGTTTATTCACAAAAAAGGTCATCTCGGTGCATGAATCATCTCGCTTTCACTCAGGGTTTGGAGAAGAAGGGTCATACACCAAAGTAGTGTAATGTAGACACCCATCTCGAGGCAAAAATAATAACCAATTCCACTTCTTGAGCTCATAACCTATTGAAAACAACCTTTATCCTTACAAGGTACACCACTCCTCTCATATTTCACTTGTGGGATTACACTGAATATGTTGTTGTGAACCCTAACCTATCGATCATACCGAGATAACTTTATTATTGCTCAGATTTTTCATGTATATGAAGTGTGCTTTTTTGAGAAAGTTTTTGTAGGGTCAAATTCTGATTCATTTTTCTGTATGGCAGGTGGTAGAAATTGGCAAGATGTTCAACAAACTAATCAGAGATATCCATGCATATGAGAAATGGCAAAAACCTAAAGAATTGGACCTATTGATATATAGTAGTTTGATCTTTAGATATAGTAATTTGGTAGATTTAAATAATTGAACTTAGCATATGGTTGTGTGTAATTTTTATCTAATTGCCAATTGTCTTTTTGAGGGAAAATGGTGAAGTCTTTTGGCAAAAGGGCCTATTTTTAAATCTTTTCCTTTTTTGTGTCTACATATGTCAATTGTAATGTGACTTCTCTTTAAATATGTGTATTATAATAAATGCTTCTAGTTATGGCCACACATGCCATTTTGTAAATTGTTGTGGCCTTTTGGATTTAACTTGGTTTTTGGAAAATAATATTTGAGGTTTGGATTAGTTTATGAGCAAGTGTGTAAAATTGGTGGGAGTTCATTATGAGAAATATATAGTTTGTGGTAAAATACTTGTATTAATAATTGTATTTTAAAGAGTGTGTAAAGTACAAAGTGAATAAATAAAAATAAACGGAGAGAGTAATTGATTGTTTGCCAATTTTGATTGGTGAGGGTGTTTTAAGTAAACATATTTTGCCTTTCGGAGACAGATGAAAAGACTCATCAATGAAAATTCATGACACCAAAAAGTAGTAGACTTGTCCTAATCCTTGGGTTCTCCAACTTTGCTCTATTCTTTATATAGAGGAAGTCTTGGAATAATGATAAAATTATTTTTGTATGACTTATATAAATTACAGGTTTGAGTTGTGAAATTAATAGTGTCAAGATAGATTGAATATCACATTCCTTTGGGTATGTGGTCTTGCCCTCGACCGACTTTGTGTGAGCATGAGATGTGAAGGGTAGTTTTAAAGCAATTGTAGAGTTCTCCACGTAAACGTAAAAATTATGAGTTTCAAACGTGAAATCAATCACTACATAAACTAATTATGTCGTATATTCTTTGAGGATTAAGACCTTTCAGCTCCCTGTTAGGTGATATATTTTATGTACCAGATTATTCCTTTTAAATGTGTATCTATGCTTTTTATCTGGCGTGTCCAAAAATAAATCACCCTTATATGTGTTACGGATAAGATGCATTTAACTCAAAGAAGTGTCAACCATAAGACAAATATCAATTACAAATGTGTCCAAAAAATAAATCACCTTTTATATATATGTTACACATATTTGAAAAAAAAAATGTAAACCATAAGACAAATATAAGTTACAAATGGAATTAGGATAAACGTTAAACAAACGTGTCCAAAAAAAATAACCACCCTTTATAGATAAGATATTTTTTAACTCAAAAAGATGTTAGTCACAACTCATAAGATATACATCAGTTACAAATGATTAAAATACACATTTAACAGATGTATCCAAAAACAAATCACTTACGATAAACCATAAGATAAAATATTAGTTACAAATGGTTGATATTCAAGCCCTTCCCCTCCAATTCTTGCGTTAAACTCCACAATTTTTTTTTGTGTTTAAATCCTATTTATCTATTACACATTCAATCCCATCAACAATATTTAACCTCTTCTCCACTTAAAAAAAAAAATCCCAATCTTTTCACTATCATTTTCAATATTTTTTCTTCTACCTCTTCATTATTATTATTTTCATATATTTATCTATCCTTCTCCCTATTTTTTTAGTGAGAGGGAAAACAAAAATATAATTTGAAAAAAAAAAAGTTGTTATAATCATGGATTTCTCAAAAGATATTGAAAGACAAAAATCAGTTATGGGGTACCCTTCAATGGCTAGACACAACCAATATATTTCTCATCAACAAACAATTCCTTCATCATATAACAATTCTAGTTTTATTATGCCTAGTAATTACAATAATTACCCTAATAATAATAATAATAATTCATATAGTGTGAATTATTCCCAAAAGTATTTACCATTGCAAGATCAAATTGGTAACAATATCAACACTAATTCAACGTCGTTCGGTCGTTATGTAACGACCATGATGTTAATATTAGTTATGTCGATGATCATGTTCAGTATAGTCATCTGGATGCTATTCGGAAAGGAAAAGCCTCAATTTCAAATCGTATCGTTACAAGTTCCTATAGGACTCGTGATCACAAGTACCTCAATGTTAGGTAATTGGCAAGTCAACATATCAATGAAAAATCCAAATAATGAGCTAGATATAAAAGTAAATCAAGGGAAGGTTGGGATTTTCTATGAGACAAATTTATTGGGTGAGAATATTATTGATCCTTTTAATTTAGGGGAAAAACGTTCCACTTTCTTATTTTCCAATTTGACAACGTTACCTGGTACCTTCCTTGAAAAAGGAATTTTGTTAGAAGCTAATGGATCAAGAAATGATTCCGGGGTTTTGAGATTTGCGGTACAAATTAATATGGGGTATGAATATTCTTCCAAGACAGAGTCAAAAAGAGAGAGGATTAGGGTTTATTGCAATGATTTGAAAGTTCAATTTGGGCATGGGTTGAAAGATAAAGGGGAGTTGATAAAAGATGAGAGTGTAGATTGTATCGGAACCACAATATGAAGTTTATGAGTTGTTAAATTAATTCGTTGTTGCCCTTTTACTAGATTAGAATTTTTCTTTTTATCTTTGTACAGTTTCTTTTTTATTTTCTTTCCTTGGGAATAGGAAACAGTGTAAATTTACAATAGTATATGAAGACATTTACTTTAAATTGTATTTTGCAAGTATTTTGTTTTTCACTTTTCTTGAATTTGGGTAAAAGTAATTTAGATGCGCTAACATAGGAGAATGAAGATTATACTGAACGTCAAACCTTGTAAACAATGAATTTTTTATTTTACATGTTCATGATATACCAAAATTAAAAGTGTCAAATAACTCAAATTTAATTAATGAAAATATGACTCGCCTAACCCAAACTTGGGCTGGTTGGATTGGTTATATGTTCATTGATGGATCATTTTGGACATAACCTAAATTAATCAATCTATGAGCTAAAAGCCTTGGCGATGAGCAAAATCTCCTGAAAGAGACGAAAACAAATATCTGATATACACATCTGGCATACATATAACATATATTTTTAGGTGTTGATTCCTCACAGTTGACCTATACATATAGTTTGAAAACACATACTTTGAATTCAGTTAGTTACACATACAACTGATGTCTTCACATACATCGAACTTCTACTTTGAAAATTAAACACGTACACATCTATAGAGTTTAAAATCAGACACCATATTCGCGCGACTTCATCTAGAACGAGATATTGTATACGCACGAATATAGTGTATTTTGCTATATTTTGAATGGAAAACACTGAGCTATATACTACCAAAATGAACACTAAATAGTGCTATTTATGAATCTTCTCTTATGTAAGTGAGAGCTAAGGCCTATAAAGGCTAATGGGCCTTTGGCCTCACATGAATGGGCTCATTTGATAGAAGATCAACCAAATGGACTACAATCTAAGGTCCAACTAGGCTTCTATTTTAAAGGCTTGTTTGATTGGGGAATAAGTAATTTTGGGATTAGTTATCCCAGAATTGTCATTCCATCTCAATGAGAGGTAAAATAAAATTATAATCTCAGAATAACGAATCATGGAATAACATGATATAATCTCAACCAAGCATGAAATAAATTCATCCTAAAAATTAATTTCGAAATTAGTTATCCATTATTCTTCCTCCCAAATGAGCTCTAAGTCATTTAGTTGGATCTAAATAATCATCACAAATATTTATTTGGACCAAAATTAAGTGAAATAACATTTAAATGCTAACAATTTCCAACTTATTTTCCCAAACATAGAAGTCGGATCTAGAGTATAACATATGAACTTAATAAATCTTAACTTGAGGTCATTTTGGGAACTTCTAATCTCTATAACAACTCCTTTTCTAGTACCATTTTTTTTTAAAATGTATATTATTCTATCATAATAATTAACTATTTATCAATAACAAAATGCGTCACTTGGCGTAAATCTTAGTCCACACATGTCAACAAATTATAAACCATCAAGTTATACTTCGATCCGATGTAAACGCTTACTTAAATTTCATTAACTATCAATTTTTTTTCTAGTACAATTTTGATTAGAATAATTTTAGTTTCACTTTCATGTGAGTTTCTTTCTATCTTTTTTTCCCCTTTCTTAATCCCCTATATTCTTCTCTAATTTTTCTTCATAGAATAGATTAGAAGAATTCATAGGGGATTTAAAAAAAAAAATTAATTAAAATGGGAAAGGAAGAAGAAAAACCAGTTTTGGGATATCAAAAATCAGAATATTCTTACCAAACAAATCCTCAATTTTACCAATCAGACCCTCAATTTCATCAAATACATCACCCCGCCTATATCGAGCCTGGTCCGGGTTACCCTAATCACCCATCCATACAACAACCTTATCAATATTACGAATATAATTACCCTGCAAGGCCACTACCTTATGTTTCCCCTGACGTAGATCAGGGGTTCTCATTTGGCAGAGTCATGCTCTGCCTAATGCTTTTTTTATTTTTATTTGCAATGATTATAAGCATGTTCACTATGATGGTGTTCATGACACTAAAACCTACATTCTATTTGGAATCGTTCGAGGTCCGCTTGTTTGATTTATCAGGCAATGGCGGACCTGGGACAACATTAAAGGCTAATTGGGAGACGAAAGTATCAATTAAAAATACAAACACTAGGTCATCAGTACTTGTGAATCAAATCGAAACATCCTTGGTGTATAGATATGTTGCAATAGACGTGTCTTACATGGACCATGTCGAGATTCAGAAGGATAGTAACGTCCAGATACTGGACGCCTTCTCTTTCCCTAGCTCGAAACGAACGTTTAACGCGGATTCTGCGGTGAAAGAAATGGCTAAAGATAGACAACGAGGGCAAATTATGTTTGATTTGAAACTTGAGGTACAACTTATGGTTAAGTCTAATGTTTTTCATAAATCAGAGAAAATGCGTTTGTTTTGTGAAAGAATTGCATTAGATTTTAAGAATACTACTTCTAATATTCCAACATGGAATGGTAATAAACATGAATGTGTATCAGGTTTATGATTTTTGATGTAATTATAATGTAAGAAAATAAAGTTTATAAAATTTTGATGTATACAAATTAGAACATAGGTAAA